TCATTAAACTTTGATTTTGAGAAATTGTGCAAATTTTTATTTTAATAAGAAGCTTTAAAATAACAAACATTTAACAATATTTGTCTATTACGAATTCGAAAGATTCACGAAACTTGAAACAGTGGCGGATTTTACAACAGGATTTTTGAGAGTTGAGTTGAGTTGAGTTGAGTTGAGTTGAGTTGAGTTGAGTTGAGTTGAGTTGAGTTGAGTTGAGTTGAGTTGAGTTTGAATTATTTGAAATACATAGGGTCGCAAAGTCTGCATTTAGTGGTGCAAAATATGAATCTGTTTACAATAATTTAGGTATTATTTTTGTACAATATGAACAATTACTTCCATTAAGAAGATTTAGTAGTTATAAAATAAAAAAAGTGTGCTACTTTCTTAGGACAAGTGAAAGCTTCTTTCACCACGAATAATGGTTTTATCTTCTCTGTAAGGCCGTATAGTAACTTTTGCCTCCAATCGCAGCTGTTTTATCAGCCTGCATTAAAAACCTCTACATTATTGTGTTTTAATCAAACCTAGGAATAAAAGCTCTTACATCATTTCCGTTTTGTACTTCCTGTTGCCTGCTGCTGGTTTACAATTAAATTCCAAGCCCATTAGGATTATTCCGATATCATTGTTTTATGGCCCACAAAAAAAGAATATTTATTTGCTTCCTATGGTTGAAGAAACAATGAAAACTGAAAATAATAAAAATGGACGCAACAGGAAGCAGAAAGATAAGCAATTTAAAGTCTAAAACTGCACAGTAAATTGTATCGTATGTGAAAGGATAAAATCGCACGTCCACACACACACACATACACACATACACATCTCGTCAGGAGCGTAGTACAAAGCACGCAAACGTACGCAATTAAAATGCTCAACTTCTACATTGACTAACGCGAAGGCAACAAAAAAGGTAGTAACAAGAAAGAAAAAAAACTTCCAAAAACAAAGAACTGTGAATAGTGAATACAAAGAATAGTGCACGGAATGTGGAGGGTAAAACTGAACGGCGACTGCGAAGAAGTCCAAATGCTTCACAGCGCCCCTGTGCCAAAGCGACGCATGCGAGGATAAAACGTGTAAAGATGTACGAAAGCAATATGTGAATGGACCAGAGCAGCACATCGACGAGATATATGACTATGCAAAATGATAACGAACAGTGAATAGCGGATTGAAAAACAAAGTGAGGGGGGGAGGGGAGGGGCTTGGCAATGAATCGGCAAATGGCAGGTGCCAGAGCAGAAGCAAAGCCAGAAAGCAATAATAAATGGCAATGCGACGCCGTAGGGGTTGACGAGCAAAAGGGGTAGGCATACCCCAGCATGCGAAAGCGCACAATTACAAGCAAGACACTGAAGGTGATATGCACACACACACACACACACACACATACACAAATATTCATACACACAAAAGCCATATAAATTAATATGTGGCTCAATGCATCGGATTGCAGCGACTTTGGAAATGGAAAAATCACAATCATTCTATTTTTATGGATTTCCGTTACGGGAGATGCTTGCCGGCAGCAGCAACTGAAAAAACAATAGCAAAAAAAAAACTACAACAACAATTATAGCAACCATAGTATTGTAGAATTATAATAACTAGTCAGCTAAGCAACAAGCGCGCAATAGGCAACACAACAAAAACAAACAACGACGGTTTCTGCAAGGCAGCTAGAATTTCAAAAAAAAAAAAAAACAATAAAAACAAAAACCAAAAAAGTAGCAACAATGACAATGCGATTGGCTCACACGGGTGTAGAGAAAAAGTGACAAAAGGATAAAGGCGCTCACAGACGTACATACAAATGCATGCGGGTATGTGTAAGTGAATGCTTTTCGAAATTCGAAGTAATATGCAACATTTTTATTTATTTTATCCTGCGCTGTTTTTGCATTGCAGGTATTTTGCAATGTAGAGGGATTCATTGGAAAACAACAACAATGCACAAACAGTACTAAAATTTTTACAAAGCAACGAAAATCAGCACACAGTGTGGCCAGCAAAAGCAACGGAGGAAGTGCTCGTGGCGGATATGTGACAGCGGAATGTTGCAACTCGTTTCGTTAAGGGAAGAGGAAAAAGTTGGCGAATGTATGGGAAGTGACAAAGAAATCCATTACACATTTTTTAACCCACTTACATGGCACTTTTAAGGTTGTTGCACATTGTTAGCTAACCTTGCCGCAAGCGCGAGCAAAAGCAACAGGCAACATGGATAGATATGTGTGTATGTATGTATGTATGTTTGCGCACTGGTCGCTTGGATTGCGGTGGCGAATACTTGGCTTTCAGAAACGTTTTTTTTTTATTTTGCTTTATCTGCTAGTGTAGCTGTTGCTTTCAATTTTCTCAATTTCATACCTCCTTCCAATTTCCTTGCTCCTTTGTACAGCTCTGCAGTTGCAAATTCACTCCGAAATTTGCGCAAAAGCAAATATTTCACTGGCCTTTGTAGTGCTTTGTGCAAATAGCAGCGTTTTCTTAAAAGATAATTCAAAAACAAAAAGTGCACATTTGCATTGTTTAAACTGGATAATAAACGCAGACAAAATTGATGAACCTCGATTACATAAATATATGGATAAGCATCTGAAATATCCGGGCTCTTTACAAGGAACGTGCTTCTACAAATTCCTGGTTGTGCTTGTCAAATAAAATACTGACACCGCTATCAGCTGCCGAATTTCGCATTAAAGTGAAACCCAACAACATCAGCCTAACTTTTTCCCCATTCCAGAAGATCAAATCTACGAGCGCCTACAAGCAGCACATGAGCGTTGCCCTGACGATGTTATTATTGTGTTTGGCGAATTTAACGCCAGAAACGAAGAGCGTGCTTCAGGCAGAGAGACGAAAGTTCGAGGTCGAGGATCTGCAGTAGAAGAAGAAGGCACGCTAATTCCTTCTTTATTTTGCTTACAGTGAACTACAGCTGCGGCGGGACATATGATTTACTCAGTCACATTTAGGCCGCATAAGCACCCAATTCCTTGGCCTGTGTCCTGTGTAGAAATCAGCAAGTATAGTGACTCCGGCACACAGATCAACGCAACGCTAAGTCTAAGGACTAAGGTTGTAACCCGTTTTTTACAAGGCAGTAATTAAGCCCCCTGGTTAGCGGCTGTTGTCCTCGGCCGATCTGTAGGCCAGACTATTCTACAACCACCACTGATAGCAAGAACCGCAGCCAAGCAAATACTTGCCGAATATGGGGCTGCATAAAATATGAATGGGGAAGATGGAGGTAGAAATTCGATGCCTGTCTTGATGTCGACGCATACATATGTATGTATACATATACAAAATAAATAATTAAAATGGTCAGACAACTTTTATATTCCACCCGGTAGTATAGTAATTTTCACAGACGACTCAAAAATGAACGGTGAAGTGAGAGAAGGTTATTCACCCGCAAGCCTGCCCTGAGCAGTTCCTTCTGACTACCGGACACTGTAGTGTCTTGGGGGCTATAAACGAACTTCGTACTGATTTAGTGTTGTTAGAACGTTAAAATGACGCCGACAATCGTCCTTCGTAGAGGAAAACTTTCAAACTTCCAAACCAGGTGTCGTCTAAATAATAAACATTTTACAAATAACCCACTAGATATCACGAAAAATACTTGCTAATCAATTTTTATATTTTTGAACATAACGTTTTATACTAGCTGACCCGGCGAACTTTGTTCCGGCCAAAATTTATATCTTTATTCAAACATTTGGTACAACATTTTCACCACAATTCACGTTCACGTTTGTTTTTGTGGTCGTCAGAAAGCATATCCTCCATTGCCGTCTCGAATAACCTAACGAAAGCGTTATGGGCGTGAAGAAGTTCTTGCGACAACAATAATCCGGCTCGATAGTGATATAGTATAGAAAAGGTGGTGGCAATTTCAAAATAGGAGAACATCATTGGTCCACAGACTTATTTCAGACTAAATACCATAAATATCTTACAACTGAATTTGTAGGCATTCATCAATCAATTGTCTGTATTTTGTTTAGTAGCCGTAAAGCAACTTCCGCTATGGTTATTGTGGTAGATTTAATTGCGGTAAGTTGATTTTGATCCCTGGTGTCTCCGAGTGCCTACACTTGCCGATTTTTAGCAATATCTCGACTCCAGAGCCACCTGTCGGGTCTTTTTTTAATAGTTTTGCCCCTACCGTTACGAATATACATCTCGATTATGAAGCAAATCGGACCATAAATTCAATTTTTAGTAAAAATTAGACTCCAAGCCACCTGGCGAGTAGTTTTATTCGCAGAAATATTTCCCTTCACGTCACCAATACACATTTTGAATACAAGCCAAATTAGATCATAAATACGATTTTAATAATAACTCGACTCCAGCACCACCTGGCGTTTTATGTTGTGAACCTAAGCTATACAGGGCCTTTAGGACATAAATTTTACTAAAGTAATTTCGGTCGTTTACGAGAAGTTCACTCCCAAACACATGTACCGAAGAATTATATATGTATTTACAGATAGGTTTCAGTGTGTTTGGAATGCGCCATAGCCCCCACTTTTCTCCAAGAGTATGGGGTTGATTTCAAAATCTTCATGCCAAGTTCCAGGACTCTACCACAAATGCTTCCAGAAATATGCGGTGCCTACAACCAAAAAAGCCTATTTCAAAAAAATCGCTACAGCCGTTCGCGAGATCACCTCTTATAAAAAGATGCCACCTCTCTTAATATAATTGGTATAGAAGTATACATATAAATATTCGTACAAATACTATCTTTGTTTTGTAGATAAATTTTAACCATCCCTTCATTTATTATTTGTTTATTTTCCGATTCATTAGCTATTAAGCTAATGAAAGAAAAAACTCAAAAACCGCATTAATTTGTATTAAAATTTCATGCCATGCATTCTACGAAATTAATTCGAGCAATGCCACTCACGCGTGGAATCACACTTCATGCCACTTCTCTCTGAAGTGTAGTGCCTCGTGCACTATGTCAACTCCAGTCGATTTGCGGCCCATTGACATACATAGATATAACTCATTTCGATTTCAACACTGTGCAACTTTTTTTTCACGTGTTCATCAATAATTATCGGTTGGATTTGCATTGAAAAACTTTTGCTTTTTTCTGGTTTGTTAATTTGCGGTTTCCCTTTCAAAATACATGCTCACAAATAAGGGCATTGTTTTTGCTTGCTCTACTCAATTTAACATTAAATTACAAACTAAGCCACATCCACATAGGCACATAAACACACCGGCAGCAACGAGTAGGCGTCAAAAGATGATGGCCACTGAGATAAGTGAGTGCTGCTAAATATTTTAATTGAATTCCATTTTCAATTCAACAACATTAAAATTGCAATTTTCCCCTTTGACCTTTCCGGTTTGGGTGTGTCGTGTGCCTATGCCTCATTTGGACGACTTGACAGTTGAACAAATGCGACCGCAAAAACGGCAGCAATAATTTGTGACGATTGTGAAAAAACAACGAATTCAAAAGACTCCACAATTAAAATATTCACAATTTTTATGTTGTGACTTGTTAGCCGTAGTTTTATTTTTAACGGCGCTTTTGCGTTTACTTTATTACCGTTTGGGTGTGTGTTTGGCGAATGAAATTAATGCGCTTGAATATTTAATTAGAGTTTACATATTATTAATTTAATTTAATATGCAAAATTAAGTTGTAAAAAAGTCTGTTTACAAGCCTCATCGAATTACTTTCTTTGTTTGAATTGCTGATTTTGCACATTGCGTGTATTTGTGTGTGTGTGTGTGTGTGTGTTTTAATCGGCATATGGCAACAACGAAAACTACAGGATTTGCTGTGCGCCATTATTAGCGCTCTCATTTCCGTTAGCGCATTATTTATTTATTCAAAGGATTTGTAACAATATACTGCAATGCTATTTTAATTTGTTTTACCAGCGGCGAACACATGTACACGCCTACACTTACATACTTACATACACACATGCATATGTGTACTTACATATAAGTAGAAATGTACAATGTGCTTTTAGTTTGTTGTAAGTTATATTTTATTCGCATTTAAATAACGCTTTTCCACGCCTGCTTCACCTCTCCACCTCTCCACTAAGCCTTAACCCTTGCAATGGAGCTAACTATATTTTTTTATTCGTTGATATGTGTGCACTGCGCTGACTGTGTTCACTAAATATGTATACCATGGTAATAAATAAACTCGAAAAATGTTTTCTCAGCTACGGCAGCATCTTTCTGTTAGACTGTAAGTTTATGCTTTCCTCCCGCACAACTGTATTTTCCCTCTTGAGCGAGAATTGCATGTTTTGTACAGCCAAAGAAACAAACGAAATGAAAATTATTGCACACAATTGTTGTTGTGCTTAATTTATTGCTAAGCAGGCACATGCAGTCACCACTCAACTTGCACATAGCTGCATTTTTTTGGTTCAAAAGGTTTTGTTTCTCTTTTTTTATTTGCAAAGAAGAAGTGTACATAAAGAGCATAAGTGGAATCTGTCCATTTGGCTTAAAGTTTAGTAAATTTTGTTCACTTAAAAATTTATTATTCTTAAGAAACGCCAACCGAAGGTGAACTTTTCGACCGAACCGACCTTTCGACAATAGCCGGCATTATTGGCGTAGCCGAAGCCGCTCCTCACCTTATGTTGGAGAGCTCTTTCGAAAACTTTGAGAAGGTACTTGGGTTAATGATTTGTTTTAATTTTATAGAAACTTTTACGTTGGTGGCATGAAGTTTTGGCCCAGTAGAATTTTCCGTAGAATAATTTTGTAGAATATATCAATCCCCCTAACGACCTTCCTGAACTAAGGGTCAATACGACCCTTTTAGGCGAGAGCTTAAGGGTTAAAATGTTCTACGGAAATATTTCCCATGAAATTTTAATATATATGTCGTAACCTTTAATTTCGCTCAGACTTTTATTTTAACCATTTTTTCCATCTTTTTGAAAAATACTTAGGCCTGGACATGAAAACTTTAGTATTTCATAAAATAAAAAATACGAGCTACTTTTGCAAATCCATCGAGTGTTTTACCACAGAAAATGTTGACAAAATCCAAGCAGGTTTCGGCTGTCGCACAGTGTTATTAATTCACCCGAACAAGAAGTGGCTTTTCCTTTTCCAAAACCTATCCCAATACTTCCTGAGTAATCCAGGGGCATAATATTTACACATCCTAAAGACTTATCAAGTCAGAGCAATTTCTATTCTCTAAGCAATCTTAGTTAAGGAAGCACAGAATGTCCAGCAGTTAAAATTGTGTATGCCCATCTAAATGGTCTGATATTTATGTACAACGAAAAATCTAGTCTGAATTCCTACAAATATTGCAGTAGTAGTGCAAATGTAAACTTGTATTTCATTGATAAATATTAAATTAAAAACATAGCTTTTCCATAGCCTTCTAAAAGGGAAAATTAAATTTAAACAAATTGTTTTAAAATTCTTCATTTAATTTTTCATAGTTTACCATAAAAAGAAGGCATGAGTCTTGGCAGTCGAACTGTAACAATTTCAGTTTTTCGCAAGCTTTGCAAACTAGAAAAATAAGAGGTTTATTCTCGAAGTCTGGCACATTGCACGGATTGTACGAAATGCAAAAATACTCTACTCTAGCCATTGCAAAGTGGTAGCATGCATAGGTACATAGCAAGCAACGAAATTCTGTATCAAATGCAATAACAAGAAAAAGAAAAAAAATGAAGTGAGCAAGATGAGAGGAAATGCAATCCGTGCTATGCAAGATTTCGAGAATACCCCTTATATAGAACTTAGCCTATACATATATCCGTATATATGTATATATGTATATTTTTTCCTAAATATCGTATACAAACTATTTTACTCATACGACACGCACACCCTGCCAACATTCGCATGGTTTGCCAACTGTTGGCCAAAGGCAGTCAGAAATCCTTTTTGTAACAAATAGCAAACACTACTCGCTTATTAGACATACAAATAAGAGTAAGTGCACAGAGCACATATACACATTTACTCACACAAGAACACACATGTATGTATGTATATGAGTACATCTGACTGCCATCGCAAAGGCGTAAGAATATAAAGCAAATAAAATAAATGAAGCTGATATGGGAGGTGGGGAATGCCCTGCGGCTGAGGAAGCTGAAAATTAAAGAATTGTGAGAAATAAAATACACAATTCTTTGCTGCTGTCAAAGAAGGAATGAGAACACACACCATTCATGAAAACTGCGACAACAACAATGCAGCACAGCGCAACACAAAGTGACTAGAATTTGCCACAGGAAGCGAGAAAACAGGAAGTGAGCCGCCACTGCCTCAATTGCCACAAACCCAAATGCTGTTGGCTTAGCCGAGAGTGTCTGTTGCCATTGCGCCAAAAGACACTCTTCTAAGTGTCTCACTTTGTATGAAAGTGATTTTTTTTGTGTATTTAGATGGCGTATGTGTGAGTGAGTATGTATGTGCATGCGGCTGGCCAGCGGCTTCTTGTCCATTTGTTTTGGCTGTACCCCCTTTTGGTGTCTTTCCGCCTGATGTGTGTGTGTGTGTGTGTGTGTGTATGTTTGTAATCCATTTTGTTCCATTATCACGAAATACAATATTTTGTGGAGACATGCACACGAAGATGCAACAAGAACAATAACAACAAATAAGCAAAGGCAAAAGGTGGCAGTTGAAGCAAGCTTTACCATTGTCCGGAAAGAAAACACCGAGGCCCACAAACATTGGCCGAAAATACTCTGTGCGCTCTAAAACGTTTTAATTTTTTTATTTGGCTGTTTCCCCATTCACGCTTGCCACATTTAGACATTAGACATTTTTATTGCTTTATTCGTTAGTTTTGGCCAAATGTGAGTGTGTGCTGGAACAAAAGCCATTGTCGACTTGGAAAAACTGAACCCAAAATGGCAAGCAGAGGTTGCCACTTGGCTGTAAACTTCAGTGTGCAAGCGAAAAGCCGGAAAAGGCAGAGCAAAAGATGTCCGTATGCATGTGTGTTACACATAAATACACTCATTGTTGGGTGTGTGTGTATGTGTGTGTGTGTATGTATGCATAAATAAGAATCAAGTAAAAACTGCCAGGCGATTTCCACAGCAAGGCCGCAGCAGAGCAGCTTTTTGGACAGGAAAAGGCTATTAAAGTGGCGACAGGCAGAGAGTGCATTATTTATGTGCGAAAAAATTCAATTCACAGCAACGCAAATAGCCCGCAAGACACAACTGTTATTTGCTTTATTTACTTAAAAAAAAAAAAAATGTTATTTTCCTTTGCTTTCGTTTCAAATGCAGTGGCCAGAGGAAAAATAAATAGGATATTTGTATTAGTGGCTGATGGAGAAAAGGAAATGAATTTTTAAACGAAAATGTCAAACGTATTTAAAAGTAATTTAAAGTGAAGTGAGAAAAACGCATGCCGAAGAAAAAACAACAAGGTTTGCACTTGCTTGCGGGCACGCCGCTCACAGCCGACAAATAACTTAGTGACTGCGAAGAACGAAGATTTATAGAAATTGAATGACTATTAAATAGACAACTGATTGAATTGTAATAAATCAGCCAGGGCAAATAAAGGGACAAGTGTCAAAAAATCGGGTGTTTTGCATTATTTATGAAGCTCTAGGAAAGAAACAAATGCTGGAACACCTTCCAAATCGATTACTACCTCCTCAAATAACATCCCTCTTGTGGTTACTTATAGTCATTTATTGAACAATAACAAACATGCTGGGAAATTGTGCAAAAAAACTTTGCCAAAATCTGCTTTTTTCTGTCCAACCATTTACTATAAGTGACCTCAGGATCAAGGTGCAGGGATGTTATTTGAGGAGGTAGTAATCGATTTGGAAGGTGTTCCAACGATTGTAGCCTTAATTTAAGCCTAAGTGAAAGGTTCTATAAATTGTGATTAGCTATTATAGATCAAATCGGGCATCCGGAATTTTAGTGAGAAAGTGTTGACTTTAAAATTTTATCTGGTCCTCATAAAAATAAATTTTCAAGGCAGAAA